TGTATTGTTTTTTGACAGGGATGGTCGGGGAGGCCGCATCGGTTCGCTGCGCATGCTCCGAATTTGGAGACAGAGTGTGTTTTGTATTGTTTTTCCCAGCCCTCCTACGGTTGGGTACTCGTTTTGAAAAGAGAACTGTGGTATCCACTTCCCGCCCTCCTCCTCCTTCTCTCCTGTGTTCGCGGTGCCCTGCGGGGCTGCGATCTGCGCAACTGTCGCCACTTTCGTGGGCTCCTGGCTGTCCCCTGCGGGGCTGCGATCTGCGCAACTGTCGCCACTTTCGTGGGTTCCTGGGAGGCCCAGCGGAGGTACGTCATACGCAGATCACTTTGAGGCCTCCCTGTCCCCTGCGGGGCTGCGATCTGCGCAACTGTCGCCACTTTCGTGGGTTCCTGGGAGGCCCAGCGGAGGTACGTCAGACGCAGATCACTTTGAGGCCTCCCTGTCCCTTGCGGGGCTGCGATCTGCGCAGCTGTCGCCACTTTCGTGGGTTCCTGGGAGGCCCAGCGGAAGTACGTCATACGCAAATCACTTTGAGGCCTCCCTGTCCCCTGCGGGGCTGCGATCTGCGCAGCTGTCGCCACTTTCGTGGGTTCCTGGGAGGCCCAGCGGAGGTGCGTCGTACGCAGACCATATTGAGGCCTCCTTGTCCCCTTTGGCGCAGCTGGCGCGCACCTGGCGCGCCTGGCGCGCACCTGGCGCGCTGGGCGCACCTGACGCACCTGACGCGCTGGGCGCACCTGGCGCGCACCTGGCGCACCTGTCGTACCTGGCGCACCTGGCGCGCTTGTCGCACCTGTCGCACCTGTCGCACCTGGCGCACCTGGCGCACCTGGCGCACCTGGCGCGCACCTGGCGCGCACCTGGCGCGCACCTGGCGCGCACCTGGCGCACCTGGCGCACCTGGCGCACCTGGCGCGCCTGGCGCGCCTGGTGCAGCTGGCGCACTTGGCGCTGCGGGGCTGCGATCTGCGCAACTGTCGCCACTTTCGTGGGCTCCTTGGAGGCCCAGCGGAGGTGCGTCATACGCAGATCACTTTAAGGCCTCCCTGTCCCCTGGGGGGGCTGCGACCTGCGCAACTGTCGCCACTTTCGTGGGCTCCTGGGAGGCCCAGCGGAGGTGCGTCATACGCAGACCATTTTGAAGCCTCCCTGTCCCCGGGGGGCTGCGATCTGCGCAACTGTCGCCACTTTCGTGGGTTCTTAGGAGGCCCAGCGGAGGTGCGTCTTACGGAAGCAACTTTGAGGCCTCCCTGTCCCCTTGGCGCACCTGGCGCGCACCTGGCGCACCGGGCGCGCACCTGGCTGGGCGCGCCTGGCGCGCACCTGACGCACCTGGCGCACCTGGCGCACCTGGCGCACCTGGCGCGCACCTGGCGCGCACCTGGCGCACCTGTCGTACCTGGCGCACCTGACGCGCACCTGGCGCGCACCTGGCGCGCACCTGGCGCGCACCTGGCGCGCGCCTGGCGCACCTGGCGCGCTGGGCGCACCTGGCGCACCTGCCGCACCTGGCGCACCTGGCGCATTTGGCGCGCCTGGCACGCACCTGGCGCGCACCTGGCGCGCACCTGGCGCGCCTGGCACGCACCTGGCGCGCTGGGCGCACCTGACGCACCTGTCGCACCTGGCGCACCTGGCGCACCTGGCGCGCCTGGCGCGCCTGGTGCAACTGGCGCACCTGGCGCTGCGGCGCTGCGATCTGCGCAACTGTCGCCACTTTCGTGGGCTCTTGGGAGGCCCAGCGGAGGTACGTCATACGCGCATCACTTTAAGGCCTCCCTGTCCCCTGGGGGGGCTGCGATCTGAGCAACTGTCGCCACTTTCGTGGGCTCCTGGGAGGCCCAGCGGAGGTGCGTCATACGCAGATCCCTTTGAGGCCTCCCTGTCCCCTGCGGAGCTGCGATCTGCGCAACTGTCGCCACTTTCGTGGGTTCCTGGGAGGCCCAGCGGAGGTACGTCTTGCGCAGACCACTTTGAGGCCTCCCTGACTCCTTGGCGCACCTGGCGCACCTGGCACGCACCCGGCGCGCTGGGCGCACCTGACGCACTTGGCGCGCACCTGGCGCACCTGACGCACCTGGCGCACCTGGCGCACCTGGCGCACCTGGCGCACCTGGCGCGCACCTGGCGCACCCGGCGCACCTGGCGCGCACCTGGCGCGCCTGGTGCAGCTGGCGCACCTGGCGCTGCGGGGCTGCGATCTGCGCGACTGTCGCCACTTTCGTGGGCTCCTGGGAGGCCCAGCGGAGGCACGTCATACGCAGATCACTTTGAAGCGTCCCTGTCCCCTGTGGGGGGGGCGGCGATCTGCGCAACTGTCGCCACTTTCGTGGGCTCCTGGGAGGCCCAGCGGAGGTGCGTCATACGCAGATCACTTTGAAGCCTCCCTGTCTCCTGGGGGGCTGCAATCTGCGCAGCTGTCGCCACTTTCGTGGGTTCCTGGGAGGCCCAGCGGAGGTGCGTCTTACGCAGGCAACTTTGAGGCCTCCCTGTTCCCTTGGCGCACCTGGCGCGCACCTGGCGCACCTGGCGCGCACCTGGCGCACCTGGCGCGCACCTGGCGCGCTGGGCGCACCTGACGCACCTGACGCGCTGGGCGCACCTGGCGCGCACCTGGCGCACCTGACGCACCTGGCGCACCTGGCGCTTGTCGCACCTGTCGCACCTGGCGCACCAGCGCACCTGGCGCGCACCTGGCGCGCACCTGGCGCGCACCTGGCGCGCACCTGGCGCGCGCCTGGCGCACCTGGCGCGCTGGGCGCACCTGGCGCACCTGGCGCACCTGGCGCACCTGGCGCGCCTGGCGCGCATGGTGCAACTGGCGCACCTGGCGCACCTTGCGCGCAGCTGGCGCACACCTGGCGCACACCTGGTGCATCTGGCGCACCTGGCGCACCTGGCGCGCTGGGCGCACCTGGCGCACTGCCACACCTAACGCAAACCTGTCGCACCTGGCGCACCTGGCGCACCTGGCGCACATGGCACACCTGGCTCACTTGGCGCGCCTGGCGCAACTGGCGCACCTGGCACACCTGGCGCAACGGTGCACCTGGCGCACCTGGCGCGCACCTGGCGCACACGTGGCGCACACCTGGCGCCACTGGCGCACCTGGCGCGCGCCTGTCGCGCACCTGGCGCGCACCTGGCGCGCACCTGACGCGCTGGGCGCACCTGGCGCACCTGTCGCGCATCTGGTGCACGTGGCGCGCTGGGCGCACCTGCCGCACCTGGCACACCTGGCGCACCTGGCGCACCTGGCGCGCCTGGCGCGCATGGCCCAACTGGCGCACCTGGCGCATCTGGCGCACCTGGCGCACCTGGCACACCTGGCGCACCTGGCGCACCTGGCGCACCTGGCGCACACCTGGCGCACACCTGGCGCACCTGGCTCACTTGGCGCGCCTGGCGCACCTGACGCACCTGGCGCACCTGGCGCGCTGGGCGCACCTGGCGCACCTGGCGCACCTGGCGCGCTGGGCGCACCTGGCGCGCACCTGGCGCACACTTGGCGCACCTGGCGCGCCTGGCGCACCTGGCGCGCCTGGCGCACCTGGCGCACCTGGCGCGCCTGGCGCGCCTGGCGCACCTGACGCACGTGGCGCGCCTGGCACACCTGGCGCACCTGGCGCACCTGGCGCACCTGACGCACCTGGCGCACTTGGCTCACTTGGCGCACCTGGCGCGCCTGGCGCGCCTGGCTCGCCTAGCGCGCATGGGCTTCTTGGGGGCTCAGCTGAGGTGCGCCCTACGCAGATCACCATTATACCATGGCGCCGATATGTCCTTCGGTATTGAGTGGTCTTGAATGCAATTGTCACTTGTGTAGAAAGGGTTGGGTACGTCGCAGGATAATTTGCAAGGGATGGTGGAGGCAGAGCGTGTGCCTGTTCCCAACCATCCTGTGGTGTTGGGTCCTCGTTTTGAAGAGACAGCGCACCGCGTCCCACCTTCCTTCCTCCTCCTCCCCCTCCTCCTCCCCCTCCTCCCTCCCCCTCCTTTCTTCTGCTCTCGGCGCACCTCTCACACGTTTCGTAGCCCCATAGGGAGCTCCACCGAAGGCCCCAGTGGTTGCTCTCGCATGCGGTTCCCCCGCCCAGGGCAGCGTTTCGTGGCCCCATGGGGAGTTCCACCGAAGGCATCATTGGGTGTGCTCGCATGCGGTTCCCCCGCCCACGGCAGCGTTTCGTGGCCCCGTAGGGGCCTCCACCGAAGGCCACTCTGGGGGTGTTCGCATGCGGTTCCCCCACCCAGGGCAGCGTTTCGTGGCCACATCGGGAGCTCCACCGAAGGCACCACTGGGGGGGGGGAGGGGGGGTCGCATGCGGTTCCCTCCCACCCAGGGCAGCGTTTCGTGGCCCCATAGGGAGCTCCACCGAAGGCACCAGTTGCTGCTCTCGCAGGCGGTTCCCCCGCCCGGAGCAGCGTTTCGTGGCTCCATAGGGAGCTCCACCGAAGGCTCCAGCGGGGGTGTTCGCATGCGGTTCCCCCACCCAGGGCATCGTTTCGTTGTCCCATAGGGAGCTCCGCCGATGGCCCCAGTGGTGGGGTCGCTTGCGGCTCCCCCACCCAGGGCAGCGTTTCGTGGCCCCATAGGGAGCTCCACCGAAGGCCCCACTGGCAGTGTTCGCATGCGGTTCCCCCACCCAGGGCGGCGTTTCGTGGCCCCATAGGGAGCTCCACCGAATGCCCCATTGGGGGTGTTCGCGTGCGGTTCCCCCAGCCAGGGCAGCGTTTCGTGGCCCCATAGGGAGCTCCACCGAAGGCCCCATTGGGGGTGTTCGCATGCGGTTCCCCCACCCAGGGCAGCGTTTCGTGGCCCCATAGGGGTCTCCACAGAAGGCCCCAGTGGGGGTGTTCGCATGCGGTTCCCTTACCTAGGGCTGCGTTTCGTGGCCCCATAGGGAGCTCCACCGAAGGCCCCAGTGGCTGCTCTCGCATGCGGTCCCCCCACCCACTGCAGCGTTTCGTGGCCCCATAGGGAGTTCCACCGAACGCCC